TTCCCGGGCCATGGGTGGATTCCTGGGATGTGGGGGGGATTCCCGGGATGCGGAATGGTCTCTCGGGATGCAGGGGAGTCTCCCAGGCCATGGGGGGGATTCCTGGGATGCAGGGGGGGTCCCCCGGGCTGCGGAGGGATTCCTGGGACACAGGGGAGGTTCCCGGGATGCAGGAAGGTCTCCCAGGATGCAGGGGAATTCCTGGGGTGCCAGAGGGGCTCCCGGGATACAGGGGGATTCCCAGGATGTGGGAGGATTCCCGGGATGCTGGAGGGTCTCCCGGGATGCAGGAGGATTCCCGGGATGCAGGAGGGTCTCCCGGGATGCCGGAGCATTCCCGGGATGCTGGGGGGTCTCCCGGGCTCTGGGGGGATTCCCGGGATGCAGGGGGGTCTCCCAGGATGCCGGAGCATTCCCGGGATGCCGGGGCTCTCCTCACCCGCTGGAAGGGCTGGGCCATCTGGCGCAGGAAGAACTTGGCCACCTGGACGGCCTCGTCCACCGTGAGGTTGAGGTTGGCGTCCGTGAGGTGCTCCTGGATCCAGCGCGGCAGCTTCCCGCGCTTGTCGGCACGGGCGAAGCGCTGCGGGAGCGGGACCGGGTCGGCACCGGGGGTCCGATCGGCACCGGGGGTCCAATCAGCACCGGGGGGGCCGGGCGAAGCGTGACCGGGGGGAGCGGGCCGCACCAGGGGATCCCAATCAACTCCACGGGGTCCCGGTCAGCACCGCAGGGAGCGGGTCAGGACCAGGGGACAGGTTGGCACCGGGGGAACTGGGTCGGCACCGGAGGAACTGGGTCAGCACCAGGGGATCCCCATTGTGCCATGGGGTCCTGGTCGATACCACGGGGTCTGGGTCGGCACCGTGGGGAGTGGGTTGGCACCACGGGGTCCCAGTTGGCACCATGGGGTCTGGGTTGGCACCGCGGGGTCCCGGTCACACCGTGGGGTCCCGTTTGGCGCCGCAGGGAGCGGGTCAGTGCCACGGGGTCCCCGTCGCGCCGCGGGGTCCCGGTCAGTGACACGGGGTCCCGGTCGGCACCGTGGGGTCCCGGTTGGCACCGTGGGGTCCCAGTCGGTGCCATGGGAAGCGGGTCAGCGCTGTGGGGTCCCGGTTGGCACCGTGGGGTCCAGGTCAGCACCATGGGGTCCCGGTCGGCACCGTGGGGTCCCCGTCGCGCCGCGCGGTCCCGGCCGGCACCCCGGGGCGCCCACCTTGTCGGCGAACACCATGAGGCCGTAGTCGGTCTTGCCGCGCAGCGCCCGGCCCACGCACTGCGCCGCGTGCCGCATGGCGTCGAACGTCAGGAAGTCGTTCTCGCGGATCTGGAACTGGTCGCGCAGGTACTCGAGCCGGGCCTGCGGCGGGGACGGCGCGTGGGCGC